ATTTTGTCCGCTACTCAGTAATTAAAATTCTGCGTTGAAATTAGTACTGAACATTGAATGTGCTGCTGGTGAAGCTGACATACATGAGGAGTGGGATGCTTGAACAACATTGATAGCATCTGAGCTAGGATTGCTATTTGCAAGTCTGGCGAATTATTTAAACTTACACATTTACGTCGTCATTGTACACTCCTCATTTTGATGAGCCAGTTCTCCACATTAATGATGCTAAGGAGCCAAGTTACATCTTTGCCGACTTTATAGTGCCTGATGCTCAGTTTCTAAAAGAACTCATACAGTTCACTGCAATCAAAATTCAAGCCTAATATAAGCAGTTAGACAGTTATCACAGCTTCAGTTAGGTTTTTTTTTTCCTTGGCACTACAACCCCAGTGGGCCTAGGCCTACCTCCATGAACTTCTCCATTCACTTCGGTTTTTTTCTAGATGTTATACATTCGGTAGGACTCCTTGGGTGGATGATCAGCTTGTTGCAAAGCCTATACCTGTACACAAACACAGAAAAACGCACACACACAAACTAAACATCCATGCCCTGAGTGGGATTCGAACCCACGATCCCAATTTCCAAGCGAGCAAACACAGTACGTGCCATAGACCGCTTGGCTACTGTGACCGGCGCTGCAATTAAATGGTCAAGCAGAATTGTTTAGTGACATTTCCAAATGTGTCATTTCCATGGTAGGTGGGGAGGCCATATTCTGCAAGAGTTCATATTCACATTGTCCACCATACCAAATTCAGGCAACCAGCAGTGCAAGTCACCTGCTGAAGTATTTCCGAGATACTGCATCCATCAATTGATTGTTGTTCCTTTATCAAGTCCCTGCATCAGCTTGGTTAACCCATGTCATGGAAGGTCACTTCAGTTTTCATGGGAGAACATAACCCAACCTTTCAGCTGCAGAACAGAATGCATGCTCAGAACTACTGTGGACAAATTCTCAGTTTGGGTCACATCTTCAAAGTCCAAGTGAAGAAGGAAACATGGTTAGACTTGAAAGGATTCTGACGATGGTGTATACTGTACTTCTTTTGGCCTATTTTGGACTTCATCCATTGTCCGGTATATAAAAGACAAAAAACCACGACGTTTCGGAGACTGGATCTGTCTCTGTCTTCAGGTGGATAGGGAAGGTTTAGCCTACTCAGTTGGGCCTCTTAGAAAGAGCTAGTCTCAATCACTGGACAAACCTTTATCTCTAGAAACAACCTATGAACAACCGACAACCGGTTCCATCAGTGGGAGGAAAGAATAAAATCGCAGTAAAAACATGATAGAAAATTTGTGCCAAACATGCACTTGTCAACAATGTAAAGAAACAGAAATATGGGTTATATTCCATGAATTCAGTTAAAAACGAAAGTAAAAACTGGATAAAGCATGCCTGATCTGCATGGATAAAGAATCGTGCCACCATGGCGATATCAGAATCCTGCCAGCAGACAAAGGCAACTGCACTGTAGTGCTAGACAAAATAAAATACAGGGACAAGATTAACACCCTGCTGAAATCTGGAGTTTATGAGCCCCTGGCAAAAGATCCGACAGCCAGTGTTGAGAGAAGAGTTCAGCAAATCCTTGCCCAATACAAAACTGTCCTTCCGGCCGAGGTAAAGCGAAAGCTTACCCCATACCACAGCAAGCCCCCACACCTATATGGTCTCCCTAAGATCCACAAACCAGGCATTCCACTGAGACCCATAGTGAGTTCAATTGGCTCCCCGTGCTACGCCTTGGCTGCCTTCCTACAAAAAATACTGAGCCCTTTGGCCGGCAGATCTGGTTCCTTCGTGAAGAATTCCGGACATTTCATAGAACTGTTAAAGTCTGTTAATCTCCGTAGACATGATATGCTCGCCAGTTTTGATGTGGTTAGTCTTTTCACCAACGTACCAGTCGACGAAGCCCTTCAGGTCATCAGAAGCAGGCTGAGTAACGATAACACATTGGCAGAACGGTCTGTCCTGAAGGTGGAAGACATCATGGAACTGCTGGATGTCTGCCTGAGGACCACCTACTTTCAAGGGGACAACGGATTCTACCAGCAGAAGGATGGCATGGCAATGGGTAGCTCCTTTTCTCCCGTTGTTAGCAACATCTACATGGAACATTTTGAACAACTGGCTATCGACTCAGCGCAGGACAAACCGTCGTTGTGGCTCCAATATGTGGACGACACATTTGTGATCTGGCCGCATGGTGCAGAGGGGATACAGAACTTCCTTACACACCTCAACAGTCTGAGACTGGCTATCCAGTTCACCATGGAAATAGAATCAGAGGGAACGATCCCCTTCTTGGATGTTTTGTTCATGAAGAATGGGACGGCTCTGACCACGAAAGTTCACAGAAAACCCACCCACACTGGCAGATATCTTAATTTCAATTCCAATCACCCTCCGCATGTCAAAAGAGGAATTGTTCATAGCCTTCATGATAGAGCTACCACTATATGCCAAGACCGGCAAGACCGGGTGTTGGAGGTTAACAATTTGAAACGCGACCTTCAACTGAGTGGTTACTCTCAAGGCTTTATTGACTCGGTTATCAGGTCCAAGGACAGTAGTCGTCAAAAGAAAAAAGAGGAAAAGCCTCTTGGCGCGGTGTACATCCCATATGTCAAGGGAATCTCTGAGAAGTTCAAGCGCGTAGGGAACCAGTACAATATTAGGACCATCTTCAAAACTAAACACACTTTACGATCTTCGCTCGTGAGAACGAAACCAAAAAGGGATCCTCAACACACGGCACAGTGCGTCTACAGCATTCCCTGTCAATGTGGCAGAAGCTACATTGGTGAAACAGGAAGACCACTGGCTGTTCGAATCCGTGAACACAAGCACAATCTTAAGCAGGGTCTTCTAGAGAAATCCAGGTTGGCTCAGCATGCATATGAAGAAGGTCACAGGGTAAGCTGGGATGAAGCTAGGATCTTGGAGATTGAAAGCAACAGCAGATACAGGAAATACAAAGAATCAGCTCATATGGCATGTTCATCCAATCCGATCAGCCAACCCAGTTTGGATATTTCTCCCATATGGATCCCCCTCATCAATGAAGAGGTTAACAAACCAAAAAATGTAATTTTATGAATATTAGTGGTTCCACTACTACTGCAAGTTTTCTTCCGGGGATTAGTCTGATTCCCCGAAGTCACCATGGTGGCGCGATTCTTTATCCATGCAGATCAGCCATGCTTTATCCAGTTTTTACTCTCATTTTTAACTGAATTCATGGAATATAACCCATACTTCTGTTTCTTTACATTGTTGACAAGTGCATGTTTGGCACAAATTTTCTATCATGTTTTTACTGCGATTTTATTCTTTCCTCCCACTGATGGAACCGGTTGTCGGTTCATAGGTTGTTTCTACAGATCAAGGTTTGTCCAGTGATCGAGGCTAGCTCTTTCTAAGGGGCCCAACTGAGTAGGTTAAACCTTCCCTATCCACCTGAAGACGGAGACAGATCCAGTCTCCGAAACGTCGTGGTTTTTTGTCTTTTATATACCGGAGGATTGGTGAAGTCCAAAATAAGCCAAAAGAATTAAAAAAAAACATGGGTTTAATACATCTGATAACTTTAGCCACATTCAACCAATGTTTCCCCAGTGATTGCAGCATTTCTCTGCATGTATTTCATGGATGCCCCTACTGGCATACTCCCTCAGGATCCACCAGCGGAAGTTAAGCCACCTGCTAGCCATGCCCAGATTCTAGAAACATGTGCCCAACTCAGTATATTTAAGACCTGACTGCTTCAGTATCTAATCCATTTTAAGTCAAATCCCAGCGCCTCTTCATGGTTCCTAAGGAGATATCCTGTTGTTGACCAAATCATCTCTTCATTCCCAGGAGAAAAAATTGCTGGAACTGGAAAGTTCTATGAAACAGTCATTTGTTGTAAGTTACATTTAACCCAGAGCATGCCTAGGAGGTCATTGAAAATTCATCCACTTTTATCAAGAGCAGCTACTTCGATGTCATGTGTAAGTTGAAACAGTTCACTAATTGGAGAAGTGGTGTATATTTGCATGGAAGCATTGTTATAATTTTGATGTGTACAGTAAACTCCTGACTAATATGAATTCTACCAGCACAGATTTGGTTTAACACAATCTTTAAATTAGGGCAGCTTTTCTACTAAAATGACAGGTTTTTGAATTAACACAGTTTCTCCACTACTTCTTCACTACATTACTTAAAAATGGAAAATGTGTGTCCAACTAGCCTGATTTCACCATACACACACATTTTCATAATGCATCTGTTGTGTTAGTTGGTGACTGTGTGTGTGTGTGTGTGTGTGTGTGTGTGCATTGTAATTATGTATAGCCATCGGAACACACAGTCACGCCAGGTTAATGTCTTTATAGTCTTCCTGGTTCACTGTTGTTGTTGTTGTTGTTATTGGAGAGGGTGGGTTTCCCCATGCACTTAGACCAGATATTGGTCCGTTATGCGTCCCCCTGTGATATTCTACCAGTCTCTATACCCTACCGATACTGGTGCATGCCATCAGTCCCGACTCAGCCAGCGAGTTCAGCCTCTACTGGCTCAGCGGTATCTCGATGCTTCCCCCCTCTACCAGAGGCGTTAGAGACTACTGTTGGGCGGGAAATGTCCTGAATTTGGCTCAGAGGTCCCCTTGAGACATGAGGTTCTTTTAGGTGCCGTAAAGTTACGACACAGGACCCGTGGCTTAAAGTCCCTCCCAGAGGACTTGTTCCCTGAATTTTTCCTCCCTTAAAAATTCCACGACCTCCGCTTGGTTTGAACCCGCATACCTTGGGAGGCACGAGGTGGGAACATTACCCCTAGACTATGGAGGCCGCTTGGTTCACTGTTACTAAAGCATGAAGAGATCTGATTGACGTCTTCAAGTTTCTGGTATGTACTGTGATGTTACAACCAGTTATAAAGTGTGTGACAGTAATTTATTGTTTCATTAGCATGAGGTATTGTTTCCTTGTGACAGTGTGCAGTGAGGGCTGCAATAGAAGGAAGAATTCTGATACTGGAAGGTATAGAGAAGGCTGAGCGAAATGTCCTGCCTATCTTAAACAATTTGCTGGAGAACCGAGAGATGAATTTGGAGGATGGACGTTTCTTGATTCCAGCTTCGCGATATGATAAGCTGCTAAAGGTAACTTCACAGCACCAAGTATGTTTGCACAGGAATAATATACCTGACTTCCAGTCAGTAGGTACCCAGTTCAGACAGGCATAGTGCATGTCTTGATAGAAGCTCCCCATTTTCCTCAGGTGATCTGTGTAAATACAATTTTAATGCTTCAAAATATGTCAGTGTTACTTCCTCCTACATCCATGCTGATTCATCATTCATAATTATCTCCCAGTCTCTTGTACTTTACTTGGTGCTGAAAGGCTTCAGCAATTGATAACACCATAGTAACATAACTTTGTAACACTTCATCACTCATTAAAAGGCCAATTTAATTTGTGGGCGAAGTGCTTTTTATACCTGATCTGTGAAAATATAATAGCATCTGTTTGCCGCATGTCAGAAAAGATGCGTTATTATGGCCAGTCATTTTTCTGCTGGTATGAGTGCTGGTAAATAATGATGTGTTCTGGGAGAGGTGTCAAACATCAAGAGTCACACATTTGTTAGTGCAGTGTGCATACCTGTCTTGAGGCTAAAGTTGAGCATGGGAGTATGGCCAAATGTAAAAAAGGGCTGATTACGACTTGAGATATCATGAGGTTTTTTCTGGCATTGAAAGATTGCTGGTGAGAGTGACGGTAGCTGTGATTAATTCTTTGTATGTTGAAGATTGCAATTATTTTTCCTCTTTGGGTGACAAGTATGTCACTTTTGACACATTGATTGATTTTTGTCACTTTACATGACAGCTAAATTAATTTTACTTGAATTCAGTTCTTATCAGAAAACAGAAAAGTTTTTGATTTTGAACCCTTATTCAGATGAACACAAGGATTTTCTGCTTCCTTTCCATACTCTGGAAAAGTGCTATTTGAATTGTGTCATCAGGTTTTAAATAGGCTTTCATAGCTTCATGTTCCCATTAGCCTCCTTTTATAAAGTATTGAAATTCAGAGACTAATCTGAGGCCAAAATATCTTTATGTGAGAGTAATATGGAAAAGCTACAGTGCGGACTGCACAGATTATGACAGTGCGTAGTAAACTTATTGTGAAAGGACCTACTATGGACAAAAGCATTCTTTTAATCTGGCATTTCTTGTTTTCCTGCAAAGGCATAATTTGAGTGTAAGAACGTTGAAGCCCACAGAGATACAGGATTTGTGTGATCTTAGGCCCTCCATATAAATCCTGGGATATTGCTTTAAATTAGACCATGATTGCTTTGACATTCTTTTCAATTCATTATTCACTATAATTCAGTCATTCAGTGCTGTTTAGTGAAAGTTACTGACAGTGTGGTTAATTAAATTATAAATAAATAAATACAAACAAACTATATACAAACTAAGGCGTTTCAAGTGAAAAGAGAAGTTTTCAAGTTTGGGGCGACAAACATGCTGTTGGATCTGCATTTGAGACAAAAATTAAAAGGCTTGAATCTTGCAAATAAACAGTAATCACAGATATATGAATAATAAAGTATGTTGGCTGAAAAATGCATGTTATTTGAGTGGAACGATTGTATTGTGACAATTTCAGTTTTTGTATAAAACTCGTGATACTGGTGATAGATATTCTGCAATTTAATAGGGATTTAACTTATATATGCAATGTTGACATGTATTCAGGAAATATGGTTCTGAATTACGTGTATGTTTAATTTTCATTCCAAATGTGGCTATTTTGTGTTTTATTAATGCTCACTTTCCATTAGTAATTGCTTTCATGACAGTCATTTACCAAGTGTTTCTACACTGATATATGTCTCTCACATTCATTACTTTAATGACAGTAACTTCCACATATGTAAATATCCTGAGTTCGTACTTTGAATTTTTTAATGGAGTACATTCATAATTTTTAATAAGCTTTATTTCTCTTTTTATTACTCATTTTGTTTGAGTTTCTTAGTTGCATGCATTTCCCATAAACATTCATCTGTTGCATATTTACATTTTATTTTTACATATCATTTTACTAGCATTGGTTAAGATATTGTATATTCTATTCCTATCATCATCCATGCAGTCCTCACAGTAAAGAAATTATCATACTTTATGATATTTTGCAGAAATATGTTTTCTTTATAAATTCTTTTCATAATGCCTCCAATTCCTTATAGAAGACTAATGACTTTAAAATATTCCTCATAGCTTAACCCTCTTGATCCTTAACCCTTCAGCGCACTTTGCTGTACACGGTACGCTGGTATTTAAATGGTCCTACCTGCGGTTTGCCGTACACCATACGCCAAGCTGTAAGCTTAATTTTGAAGGCCCATAAATATGGAACAAACCATGCCAGCTGATGACGATTCGACTGGGCTCTTGTGAAAAGAATACGCTCTCTGTTCGTGTAACCATAACACTGAAGATCCAGCAGCTCTGCCAGTCAGTCTAAATAGAACGCGTGACCTCACAGTTATGATCGCCAAGTGACCCTAATATCAGCATACCACAAAGATGATATGCGTGTGGTTGTGAATAAAGCAAACAAACAAGAAACAAAGCCCGTGGTTGTGTGAGATTACAACAGAAACATGCTAGGAGTGGATCTGAAGGATCAAATGCTACAGCTGTACTTGCTTGAATGAAAGAAGAGTACTAAGTTGTATCAGAAGTTATTCAAGAGGCTACTCGATGTAGCAGTACATTACACAATGGTCATATATCATTGTCTCCCAAATAATGAAAACATGGACACACTAAAGTTCATACTTTCACTAGCACAAGGCCTCGTGGAAAAAAACGGTTCTGGTTTTCCTCATCCTGTATACGTCCGTCCGTCAGTTGAGCCGCCGCCTAAAAGACTCACAGAACGACATTTCCTGGATCGTATTCCAGCCAAATGAAAAAGGAAAAGCCTCAAAAAAGATGTGTGGTGTGCGCAGAACATGGTAAAAGGAAAGAATATATTAATTGGTGTAGTGAATGTGAGGCAGGGTTGTGTTTAGATGAATGTTTCAAGAAATATCACACGAAACTCAACTTCTAATCCACTTGCCTCCATTGCTCAGATACAGGTCGCCCATATTATAAGGTAAGATTATGAAACCATCTTTTAAGATGATTTCAGTGAAAAATTCATAATTATATCTCATATAAAAGTTATGATACATAATATAATTTAGAGCAAAATTTAAATGGGCAATTAAAAAATACTACCACAGGAGGTCCCACAACAGCGATATTTAAATGCCCATGCTGAAGGGTTAAAGGTCGGTGATTCATAAATCTCTTTTACAGCATTCTTCAGTTGCTGATCTGAATAATTCTTTGATTTCTGGATCTTGGTACCTGTTCTAAATTACTGTTTTTGTGACACACCTAAATGTTTTCAGTCCTGTACACACTACTAATTATTTGATTTCTTCACATTCTTTTGACATTATTCTCTCTTTGCTTGACTTTGTGATTCTCAATGGTATCATTTTTAATGTTGCATTATGTTCAAACTTGTTATATAATCCTAATATTTTATTAAATGTAGTCCAGAATTCTAACTGATTTTGAGTATCTTAGTACTGGCTGCAGTTCTCTCAGTCTGTGTAGTCATGAAGACTGATTATTTGGTATGAGATGCCATTGCTCTTTGTTGCTGGGTGGGTAACTGCTACATAACTGGTAGCTCAGTATTTTGTTTATTAACATTGAGAAGGTTATTGACATCTTCCCTCACCTTCCATCAACTCTTCAATTATAAAGTTCACAATGAACAATATACTGGTTCATAAGTCTCTCTTAGTATGGTGAGCATGGATGACTGCCCTTTCTTGGCTTCTCAGTTTTACTCTCTCCTTTATTTAATTTACCAAGAAAGAAGTTGTGCTGGAAAGCAAATCTTCTGTTTTTAATGAGAATATACTGTTTAAGTACTTAAGAGTCTGAATGTTGCATTTATATATGTCTGTTGACTGAGTTCAGCTTGTTATATGATAAGGAACATGAAACCCATAATGACTATTACTACCCTGAAAATTATTTATAACTCTTATTTCCATTCTGTCATGTCCTATGGCTTGATATTCTGGGGTAATTCAGCTTCTGCTGAAAAGGTTTTTAGGATGCAAAAAAGAGCTATACGATTAATGGTTGGTTGTGGATATAAACAATCATGTAGAAATAGATTCAAGGAATTAAATATACTCCCTTTAAGAGCTCAATATGTATACTTACTGATGATGTTCGTTGTTAAAAATAGAGACAAGTTTGCTCTAAACAATGACTATCATGATTTATTAACTAGACGGAGAATGGATCTACATATGAACCAGGTGAATCTGGCTGTATATGGTAGGGGCGTGTCCCACATGGCGGTGAAGGTCTTTAATGCACTCCCTTATAATCTTAAAGAAATTGCTTCCATACCTAATCAATTTAAAGTCAAATTGAAGGACTTTTTGAGTAATAATTCCTTCTACACACTTGATGAATTTTTTAATAGATGATTTTATTTTGCTAAAGTAATTATTAATTGTTCACTTATTATTACAATTAACGTAACAATATATATAAAGGGTCTTGGCAGAAATATGATTGCTTACTATATACTAATTGTTATTTTGAAATGTAATTATATTAATTTATGTATTCTTGAATTTATTTCTATAACTTGTTTTCTATGTTTTTTATTGTATCTATGTTAAGATTCAAACTTGACTATTTCCACATCTCATGGAACTTGTTTTCTGTATAGATCTATGGAAATGAAATAAATGAATGAATTTACTGTTTGAATAATTAATAATATTCTAGCCTATCAGGTGTAGTTCAGGCTTGATATTCTTTTCACAGGAATATAGTCCGGAGGAGTTGGATCGATGGGATCTTGTTCGAGTGAGTGAAGATTTCAGGGTGATAGCGCTTGGAATTCCTGTTCCACGATATCTGGGAAATCCTTTGGATCCTCCACTACGATCACGTTTCCAAGCCAGAGATATCAGTGGGCATGCATTCAAAGTGAGTGACACTTTTTATATTATCTTGATTAAGAAACTCTTGTGGAACAAGTACCCATATAAGAAAATCATACTTATCTTTGAGATACAGAAGTCCTGGTAACTGCCAGACCATGACTAGCAGTTCCACCTGCCCACTGTGCATGTAGTGTTGTCATTATGGTCAGTAGTTTTACATAATCAGAAGTGAGGCACCTGAATGATTCAGCCTATACTAGACGGGTTCAACTGCCATAGTGACGTGAAGTAGTGCACAGCAGAGGAATTCAGTAAAGTATTTAATAGAGAAAATATTCAAATTTTACAGTTTTCTGTAAACTAACAAGGTAAAAGAAAGTAAAGGTATCCCTGTAACAGGCTGTGAAGGCCCATAGGGTTTTGAGATGTCAAGGCTTCTGGACATGTCAAAATGCTTCATTTTTAATAAAACAGAAACTGTTACACTATCACTCGTGGAGCTGAAGTGCTTCTTGAGAAGCTGCCAATTGTGCCACTACTCAAGAACTTCCCATCATATTATGGAACCCAAAGGTTCATTACTGTGTTCACAAGAACCCTTCACTGGTCCCTAGCCTCAGCCAGATCGATCAATTCCATACCATCCCATCCTATCTCTCTAAGATCCATTTTAATATTGTCTACCCACCTACGTCTTGGTCTTCCCTTCTGGCTTTCCCACCAGTGTCCTATATGCATTCCTCTTCTACCCCATTCGTGCTACATACCCTTCCCATTTCATCCTCCTGGACTTGGTTATTCTAATTATACTTGGAGAAGAGTACAAGTTATGAAGCTCCTCATTATGCAGTTTTCTCCAACCTCCTGTCACTTCATCTCTCTTCGGTCAAAATATTCTCAACACCCTGTTTTCAAATACCCTCACTCTGTGTTCCTCCCTTAATGTCAGAGACCAAGTTTCATACCCATATGGAAGCCGAGGCAAATGCTATAGCCATACAAAACTCCAGTTACAAAATATCATATGCCTTCAGTGTGTAAAGCTAAAATCCAGTGTTTCAAGTGTTTTTTGTCTTTTCTGTTTGAAGTGTGCATGGTTCTCTTTAAGTGAATGCATAAACAGTTCTGACAACTGCTATTTGAGTGCAGAGGATCAAAATGCAGTTCATGAAGCTAGGACAGTTGAGATTATAATTTAGTATATAGGTATCAAGCCGGTCACGGTAGCCGAGCAGTCTAAGGCATGTACTGCCTTCGCTCGCTTGGAAACTGGGATCGTGGGTTCGAATCCCACTCAGGGCATGGATGTTTGTGTGCGTTTTTCTATGTTTGTGTACAGGTAGAGGCCTTGCAACGAGCTGATCACTTGCCCAAGGAGTCCTACCGAATGTAAAATCTAGAAAAACCGAAATGAACGGAGAAGTTCATGGAGGTAGGCCTAGGCCCACTGGGGCTGTAGTGCCAAAGAAAAAAATGTAGGTGTCAATGTTTTGAGGAACATAACAAACTCTACTTTTGGGGTCAAGAGTCTCAAACCTTTTGAAGACAATGGACATTTCATGTGTCTAGAAACTATGCAAGTTACAATGTATTTGGTATTTTCCTCATGTAGAACCCTGCTGATGGCAGGTTAGGACTACCTTGTCGTTTTGGACACAGTAGCTCAAACTGTATAGTGTTGAGTGATAGTGTTATTAGTGCTTGATGAATTGGATAGGATGTGGAAGGAATCAGTCAAGATTTCATATAAAATACCATCGTGGTGTTTTGCTATAGGGATTGAGGAAACTGATGAAGACCCTCAAGCAGGACAAGCACATTCCCAGCCACGATTTGAACCTATAATCTCCTGAATATAGGTCAGCAGTATTACTGCTTCAGCAAACTGGCTCGGTGTAAGGAAAATAAGCACTTGGAGAGACAAAATGCTTCTTTTTATGCAGAGATGAAAATTGTACTTTATATTGAAATGTGAAGGAATTAATTATGATAATTATGGTGTAATAAAAGGGGTTAGTACTACATCACTATGTAAACATTGTATCGTCATGTATCTTGGTAACGTGACAAGAAATTAATGGGTTCCGGATTAGGTGAAGCTGTTTATTGGATAAGTTGTTTACAGTTACAATTACAATCACTTGAACATTACGTCTTCCAGACAATGCAACTTGAGTAGTCTGTTGTCTTCTGACTTTTAGCTGAGCTGGTTTCTTCTGCTCTCAGCTCTGCTCTGTTTGCCTCTGTTCTCATATATTCTACATTTGGACGTCCTAGAAGACACCTTGTTCAAGGTTCCATTTCACGTGTTCTGTGCACTGGTAACTAGTGTATTCATTGCTGCAGGAACTGCAGTGGTTCTGGTTTTCATTTCCATGGTGATGTCTGTTATGTATCCATGGTATGTATACAGTGGCTGTCTTGTAGTGCACTCAGTTTCACCTGTTACTTCACAACATGTTTCAGCAACATAATGCCATCATCAGGTGACCTAATTACGCTAATCTATTGCATTGCTTGCCATTATGTGTCTTTATAAAATTATTTAAAAAGTATTTAAAAATTGCGTATTCGTCAATTATAATCAGTTACACACACTAAAACTTGTTAAGATTATTCATCTTATGTGTCTTAATTAAAACTTGCGTGTGGTTCTTCCACTATGGGGGTCGTTTTTCTTATATTCTGTGTGAACCTGCAAGGTGAAAAAAGGTACTTATTATTATTATTACTTTCGGCTTCTGTCTGTTATGTGTTGTATTACAATGTTTAGTACTCACTGTGTCTTGCGATGTGTGTTCCCTTTTTAGCTGCGAGTATTGTAATGTTGGATGTGTGTGTCTCTTTGTATTGATTGAGTTATGACGTGGTAGGGGTAGATGTGGTGGGGCTAGGTGGTGGAGTTGTGTTTTGTTCTGTGTAAATTGTGTGTAGTTCCTGAAATATTGGGTTATATATTTCCTTATTTATATTGTTCATATATGTGTTTTTCTTTGTTATTCTGTATATATGATAGTTTTCTAATGTGTTTAAATATTGTCCTTTCTTATTCGTTGCTATGATATTCATAGTATTTTCTATTGTACCATATGCATGTCCTGTGTTTAATGCGTGTTCCGAGTACCCTGTATTGCTGTTATTGTGTCTTAGGTCATGTATGTGTTCTTTATATCTGGTATTAAATTTTCTCCCAGTTTGTCCTATATATTCCATGGGGCAATCTAGGCATTTCATTCTGTATATGCCACTTCTGTTATATTTACTCATTTGTGTGTGTGTGTGTTTTTTTTTAAATATGTTGTAAATTATTCTTAGTTCTAAATGCTATTTTTAATTTTGTGTCACGAAATATTTTTGTAATGTTTCTTGTTTCTTTTCCTATGTATGTGAATGCAAGTGTACATGCCAACATCAGAGTATGAAGATGATGAAGTGGAAAAAGTGTATGACGCAATAGAAGAAATTCTTCAGGATGATGGAAGAGGTGACACAAACAGCATAATATTGGGAGACTGGAATAGCATTGTGGGTGATGAACCATATCAGAATATTGTTGGATCACATGGACTAGGAAGACGGAATCACAGGGGTCAAATGCTTACTGACTTTTGTGAAATAAATGGACTGATTGTTACCAACACTTGGTTCAAGAAGCCAAAGAGAAGAATTTACACATGGAAGGCACCTGGGGATTGGAGGAGGCATCAGCTGGACTACATCCTTGTGAAACATCGATTCAGAAACAGTGTGAAGGATGTGAAGATGCTTCCTGGGGCAGATATTGACTCTGACCACAACTTACTGGTTGCCAAGTTCCAAACCAGGTTGAAGAAAAGTATAAGATTTCAAAAGCGCAGGCCTAGATGGGATTTGGAGAAGTTATATGCTCAAAGAAAAAGCGTCCAAGAGACCCTAGAAGAGAAACTCACTGCAAGTGAAAGTGAAAGCAGAAATGCTGAAGTGCAGTGGAACAATATAAAAGAATGCATGCTAGATACTATAAGTGAATTGGTTGGTAAAGTTGAGAAGATAGCAAGCAAACCATGGGTTACACAGGAAATGATGAGTAAAATGGAGGAGCGAAGGAAATGGAAGAATGTCAACAATGAAGAAGGCAGGAGGAAATACAGGAGACTGAGGAATGAATTGAAAAGAGCCACGGACAGGGCCAAAAAGGAATATCTTGAGAAGATATGTAATGAGATTATGGAATTTCAAAGAACAGGCCGTTATGATTTGATGTACATGAAGACAAAAGAACTAGGATGGAAAGAGAATCATGGGATTCAAAATGTTGGCATCGAAGACTCCCAGGGGAATAGAATAGTAGATCAGAGGCAAGTGCTGAAAATTTGGGAAAATTATATTTCAGAACTATATGATCGACCTAATCGGCCAGAAACCTTAGAAGTTGAACCGGAAGAAGAAGTAGATACAGACGAGAAAGGACCATATATTTTACAAAGTGAGGTGGAAAAAGCTATCAAGGAAATGAGGAAGGGAAAGGCTACAGGAGATGATGATGTACCTGGAGATGTGCTCAAGTTACTGGGAGAAGGTGGTTTGAAAACACTGACAAAACTAATGAACACCATATATGAAAGTGGAGAGTGGCCCAAGGACTTTACAGAAGTTACAATGATTGCCTTAAAGAAAAAGACAAAAGCTACAAAATGCAGCGACCATCGCACAATAAGTCTTATTGCACATACAGCAAAGATAATAGCAAAGATACTTAAAAGAAGAATTGAAAGGAAAATAGAGGATGTACTTGGAGAAGATCAGTTTGGATTTAGAAGAGGAAAAGGAACCAGGGATGCAATTGGGATGATGAGAATTATAGCGGAACGAACTTTGGAGATAGATGAAGAACTGTGTGTTTGCTTCATAGACTGGCAGAAGGCATTTGACCGGGTAAACTGGACCAAATTAATGCAGATCCTGAAAGAAACAGGTATCGATTGGCATGAAAGAAGATTGATTAGCAAATTGTACATGGATCAGAAAGTTAGAGTACGACTGGACAGGGGGGAGACAGGAAGT